GGGGGGGGGGACTTGGCAATTCAGACACCGGAGAAAGAGAGCGGATATTCTATAATTCAGCAAGGAATGTTGTGATAACCTGGAAGCTTCTGTGTGAGTGTGCAAAATAACTTCTAGTGGTCCAGCTGATGCATTCGTATGGAGTCTGCAAATTTTTCACTCGCATTCGAACCCTCGACTGTCAAAGTTGAACACTGAAACAATACTATTACCTGACCGTCACTTAACCCTCCAATTTGCCTACAGAATGGTAAATATGTGCATTTTAAAACCTTTCCATCATCAGTGTTTGAAAAGAAAATTCACTTTGCACATAATGTTTCGGTGTTTTTTTTACGAGTCGAATTTAGCACATTTGTAAGCATTCTGTCCTGATTCCAGTTCACTGTCCCAACACCCTCGTAAAGTCAGACGTTTTGTGTTCGAATTAAAGCGTTGTCTTTTGTATAGCTAACAGTTAACTGCTATCTTGTGTCTTGCGTGTCTGAATCACTTAGCGAATCAATCAAGGATGCGTCTAAGTCAGGAAAAGTTTTCGTTATACGGTCGACAGAGTTGCGCATATAATTGATGCTTTCCTAGCTCAACTTGTTAACTATTGCTTGTCTCTTGGTTGTCTCTTTTGGTATCGCAAACGGACAGTTTTGTCGGCGCGAGCGCTCTTTATTGGCTAGACTTCTCCAGGCTTCTGATTGGTTACCGGATCAAACGGAAAAGCGGTAGATATTACGAACAAAACCATAGATACCAACCGTAATCTTATTCAGTAGTAATGAACAAATCGCAATACAAACGATAAAGCCAAGCTTTGTGCTCATTTTCAATTGAAACGTTGAGTAGTAGTCGCTACAATATGTTTGAGCTGCAAAACTAATGGTTCTGATTGGTTCAGATAACTTACTTTTAACCAAAACTTGCACATCGTGATAAATCCGCCCCATTGTGGACTCAGCAACACAAGTTACGTTTACCGATTCCGAGAGGTCCAGCAATAGAATCTTCGCTGTTCCGGGTGGTTGTTTATCCAACTGTTCACGCTGCATCTTCCGCGTTCCCCTGTACCAATCGACCGTGGGCACTGGGGCCCCTACCGCGGTGCAGGTAAGCGAAAGTCGCCCACCAGGGGAAACAATTTGACGAGCCGGAGGCCGATTGGTGAAGTGCGGCCGGAAACGTTTAGCTGCAAAATTGATTAAACCGATCGTTAAAATTCCCGCCGCTCCAAACAAACGAATGCGTAGCAAAACAGATGAACGGGTAACTAGTCGTCTGAGACTATATGGAACATTCAAAAAAATTTCAACTATCTGAAGAGATTTTGAACTGCGAATAAAGCAAACAATAATAACAACACCACTGGAACTTCTCAAGTGCGTGATTCGGTTGCTCGCGCATAAGAAGATGGCTAGCAATCGGATTTGTTTTGGCCGGTTTTTGTTACACACTTGATTTGGTCGTCTCCCAAGGGGTTGAATCGAGAAATTGGATCCAAGCACTGGTGTGTAAGTAGATAGGTTTTCTGGTCAGGCTGTGCATAGCTTCATCGAACCGCACAAACTTCAGAGGGTGGTGGAAGTTCCTTTTGACTATGTGAAATTTCCCTTACTCGGAGAAAAATTTATTTCCATTTTGGTTAACAGTGAGCATTTATGATCTGTATAGCGGACAAGAACACGTGTACGCTTGTTCGAAGGAGGTAGCCAGTGGATATTTTGGCAACCTGCGGTGATAGAAGTTGCAATGGTTTTTTTTTAGGAACTGTGAAGAGTGACTCAATTCTGAAAAGAAACGCGTCCGTCTCTGTTGCTCACGTATTGTTTACGGTGTGCCACACTTCACACAAGTTCTACAAAAAATGTTAAAGATTATGATAGCTCTAGTTCAAGTACGGTCTTTGGAGTTCCGCGCATCATGTGCGGTGTGCTCTTTGTACGACGGTTCGATCGGATGTTCATCCAAAAAAGCTTTATTATTCTCCCAAGAATGGAAGTGTGCATCTACCATTAATTATTGAACAGTTGTCTGCCCATACATTACATGCAACTTTGCAACCGGAAGTTAAAACAGATCTCGGCATGCCAGGCAATGTGTTCTCTTTTGAAGCGTAACGAAGCGGTTCAAGTATTTGCTCCAAGGGATATGTCTAACACGGGTTATTGTGCACTTGCAACGCAACCAAGTCCCAAGCTTTTGTTCAAGAACAGATGGTACCAAGAAACCAAACGGATTCACTCTAGGAAAGAAATAGCTGTTCAAAATGTCTAGCATTGTTTGTTTGGGTGGCTTAACTTCACAAGTTTGGAGTTTGAGATGAAAAAACTTGGTTAGAACGACCAAACAAAGTTCGAGGTTACTCCGCTTCTGAAGTGCACGTGGTGTAACGTGGAAAAGCCGAACTTAGCATTCACCTGGAAAGATTTAAACAAATAGAACGAGAGGCAACCGTTCCAAAACCCTATGCGAACACGCGATTGGCACAATTAAGCGCGCCACTGATTGGCCGGGCTTTGGATTGTTCAATGGCCTCAGCGCAAATTTACTGACTGGAAGGTCCGTAGTTCGAACCCAACCTTTACCTCTCGACTGCTCCCATCTAGGCTTGAGGGACTTGGCAATATTTCAATCCCCATTCTTACTTCAGGTGATATGGCACCTAGACCTCGGAAGGGTGTTACAGTTGAACGAATATTAGTACTATTTCCACCGTTAGTATCGTTGGTCGGCAGTGTGATTACATTGCTTCGGTGAGTAGAGCACAACTTAGCATGCAACACGTCGGGTTGATTAGTACTGCATTCCTAGTTCCGAGTAACTTCACCCTGCGTCAACAATACGTGTCTTTTGTAGTTCGCTGAAGAAGCTGGCCTGTAGATTCGTGCTGCGCTGAACACATCCCCGGGGAGTTTCTATAAGTGATTGACTTGGAGCGGATTCGGATCAACCATTCTCCACAGTCCATTGCCATCTTGGGCCACACGCAGCGGCAAACCGTTGGCTCTGTTTGGTGGTTGAGTACCGCGGGCTAGCTTGTTTATTTGTCGCCCATCAGATAGTTTGATACTCATTATATTCACTACCCATCCCTTGTCCATTTGGTATCAAAAGTAGACCCTGTAGAATGATACTGACGTAACGGCGGCCAGATATAACCATCATTTCTGTCTGATCCGATTTGAAAATAACTTTACGCCGCATGCTTTGTGTTTCATGTGGTCAGAGAGGGTAATCATGTTAGCGAAATGTACTCACAAACAAAAATTTTGCGAACGGCCATTCCTCTCTAGGACTCATCGTTGAGGTTCAAAAATAGACTGAGGACATCATACAACCCTGCTTCTACGGGTAAACCTGGTTACACATCTTACTTGTCTATAAGTGACACGTCAAATCGAGTTGATGGGAACAGAAGACAAGTAACTACTTGAGATTCACAAAGTAATAAGTACCTAGTTCGGACTAAAATCTTGTGTGTGACGCGCAAACACGATGATACTCTGCACGAACAAAAAAACGGACAGTGTGCACGAATTTCCCCCGGGGACATGTAGGTGTTAATTGAGTTTTTATGTCGGGTCGATTGGAATCACGTGTCACAGTCTAAATGGAGTATTCAGTAGTGTGCTCAAAAATAAATAAGTAATGGGTGTACGATTAGAGAAAAAATTTGAAAACCTGGTAACAACTACCTAAAGCACAAGACATGCAGTTTGAATTCCTTCAAGATAACCGGACTAGTTTCGGCCAGGTTTGCCAAGATTTGAACCGACTAGTTTGGTAGACCGATCGATAAATTCAAAATATCCCATTTACAAAGAGATGCTAATCAATTTGGCTTGGGTTGCGAGTTTGTTGTTTGTTGGTCGGTTGCCGGAGCTTATAAGCTGGTGTTGGTCGTGAATCAGTACTATATACAGTAGAAGTATTTGAAAAAAACGACAATGTGTTTGAAGTAAAAACAGAAAAAAAGCTGAAAGCAAAGTTACACCGTTACCGCGCATGGAAGACTGCTGTCTGCGATCACTCTCTAAAATGGCATTTTGGGCTTAGAGTGTTTTTTTGTTTTCTTCCAAGGAGGTAAGAATCAAATCACAGGACAATAGAAATAGAATCAAACACAATCAAGACGGAGGTTTGTCACCGCAACCAGTGAGAAAGCAGCTATATATAGAGTAAAAACGTACACCAGCAAATTTGCCAAGGTATTTTCAAAGCAGATGCTCAAGCAAACCGTGCGCCACACTGAACAAAACAAGCGCGAACAAGCGAGCAAGCAGAACCATACAAGAAAAACTCAGACGTTAATGGATCAGGTAATCGGTAGAGGTGCAGCGTGCACAGAAACTATTAGGGAGTTGTTGCTAACGTACTGCTGGGAGCAATCAGTTGCAAACTCGTCTCAACGTTTTCTGAAGGGGTGAACAGGGCAAAAAATTAAGGTGCTTCATATAAGAGCGAACTGAAATGACACGAAAATTACACAATTATACATCCTACAAGATAAACAGATTACGTGAGTATAATTGCCAACAGCCTTTTTTTGAAAAATTTCCGTCATCGCTACGGTGGAATTAGTCCAGAAACATGGTGACGCGTCGAGTGTAGCAGGAGAGATAAAGAACCGATAAACTGAATGGTGCTGTATCGGGGAATCAGTTGCCACAGGTTTTCAGGTTAGCTTAGTGTGCCTATGCAAATCAAGGCCGGAAAAGAAAGAAACAATATTTCGCCTGGGGAATTAGAAACTCTGAGATTATCCCTACCCGGTCGCTGATCAGCCAGGGAGGCTAGCGGTCCTTTTTTCACTATTCTCAGTTTATCATTTCCCGCCTGTGAATGGGGTGGAAGAAAGCGTCAAAAAACCCACATCATCTAATCTAAACACTTTCAGCTAAACAAAAAGAGTCTGCTACCCCATTAAATTGGACAGTTCGTTCTAGGGAAGGAACCCTCTAGAAATGTATTTGCATGTACTATCGACACCTTGTTCACTAAAGTGCGCATCCTTATCAGATAAACACACGTGCGTTCATGCAACTCGCTGCTTAAACATCATCTGCACTGTTTCAATGCTCTTTTTATGTTTGCAAAGCTTCTGAATAACTGCATCAAGAAAGCTGGGAAAGAAAACACGGTGTCACAAAGTCTATTGGTTCAAATTATTGATCACCATCGACCCTCTGGAATGCAAATCATAATCTTCTTTAGAATAAAACATGAGGTTATTGAGGCAAAGTTTTGAAAAGAATCAAATTATATGTGCATTTCACCAGCAAATGAGTTGCCTACCTCTGACAAGGAGATTGTCGCCTGACGATAGTCGTGTCCCTTTGTCATTGGTAGCTGCGCATTCATATTTACCTTCGTCGTCTTCGATCAAGTTTGAAATTTTCAGATTTCCTTCAGCTGCAATAACAATAACAAAGAGCCGCATGCTTATTCAACGGTGCTTCCTTCTGATGGAATTGATGTACTGTAGAGACCACGACATGATAAATGCGTCTGCACACGGAAGATCATCAGCCAGTGTTCTAGTCTGAGGATAGTTCAGTATAGATACACGCGTGATATGAGGTGATGTGAGGTTCCAAGGAATTACAAACCAAGTATGGAAGGAAGCCTACTATGTTGTCTCAACCAGCGACCAACATCATTCACAAGAACCAGCATCCTTCCTTCTACCGCGACCCTATAAGGTGTGCACAAATGCCACCGACAGCAGTTTGTTCACGTTACATATGGAAATGGATAAACGGTCGGGGAATGCCTTTCCATATTAAGAATGATCTAACTAACTTGTTCAATCCTGCGATGGGAAACGTTTTTTCACCAGGTACGACAGATTCGATGGACAGTAGATTAGCGGGAACATAATCAACTTGAGAAAAGACCACATTATCATGCGGATTGTAACTTGGTTTTCCCACAGGATGGTCCGTTGTAAATCCACTTCTCAAACCAAGTGCATTGACGCGTCCCAAGGGCAATGGATTTCAGTCGCTAAAGGACCGGTTTTACTGACGTCCTACTGGTGAAAGGAACGAGGTCTTCGCCCTGGAGTTATTTATTGGAAGACGCCAATTGAACAGTTACAGACTATCGGACAGGGGAGCAAAACTCTCATATGTAACTTGTTTACAAAACCTGAAGATCCATCTTCTCTTTGAACGCGTCTTGCTGAATTTTCCTGGATATTCATCGACTGTTGCTCAAATCCAAACAAATTCTATAAAGCGATTCCACAAATTCCGCAATAGATCTCACTTTTCAAGAGACGCAAAGCGAATTTACAAGAAAACATACTACTCGCATGCCTCCCCATCAGTAGCATCACCGTTACACTGATACAGGTTTATGCAACCAGGGTAGGAGACAGCTAGAGGATCACTTTTGGGTGACTGAGCTGATCCATTGGACTGGAGCAAAACTAAACGTCCAGTGCAGTGAAATATTTACTAGACTGGCATTTTCTGCTCAGTTTTCTTATTCTCCACTGCCCTTGCTAATGGCGACAACACATGATTGACATGCTATGTCCATTTTTATGCTCCCCACTGCTAGCTGGTATGTCGTTTCTTCTTTTGGGTATGCAGTATTTTTTAATGGTAGATACTGACGTGCTATTGTGTGACAGAGTTGACCCCGAAGGCAGTCTTAGATAAAAATTGAAACCCGCGTTGTGACCGTACTAACAGGAGACCTTTGGCTGATACGTGTTATGATCAGGTGCGTGCTCGATTCTATTCTTGTGTTTTGGACCAAATTAAACAGGATTTTGGTAAGTCACAATGACCAACTTTTATCCCAAATGGTAGAGACCCGTGAAAAAAACTTTTTGTCTGCCTAATAAAATGGGCTGGCTTGTCTGGTTCGTGCTCATTTCCTAGCTGTTTTTTTCTGCATCGAAATAAGACAACTGGCTAATAAAGAGTTTGGTTATATTTGCATTTCTTTGGCCAAATCAGCAGGTGGACCGGAAACGAAACCCAATCTGTCTTGCTTTTCTGCAGGAAAAAAAACAGACCAGATCAAACCAGTTGGTTATTCCGATTCAGATAAAGCAGCGAACTCACGCAGTTGGGTAAACCGAGGATTACCCATATCCACCGGAACGCTATTCTTAAACCAACTGATTTCCGGCTGGGGGTCTCCAGTAGCGCGACATTCCAGCTCGGCACCAGCATTCTTTTTGGCGACGATCACGGAGAAGGAATTGAGAAATTGAGGATATCCAGCAGGTGCGGCTATAGTGTAAATCACAGTGCTCGATTCTATTCTTGTGTTTTGGACCAAATTAAACAGGATTTTGGTAAGTCACAATGACCAACTTTTATCCCAAATGGTAGAGACCCGTGAAAAAAACCTTTGTCTGCCTAATAAAGTGGGCTGGCTTGTCTGGTTCGTGCTCATTTTCTAGCTGTTTTTTTCTGCATCGAAATAAGACAACTGGCTAATAAAGAGTTTGGTTATATTTGCATTTCTTTGGCCAAATCAGCAGGTGGACCGGAAACGAAACCCAATCTGTCTTGCTTTTCTGCAGGAAAAAAAACAGACCAGATCAAACCAATTGGTTATTCCGATTCAGATAAAGCAGCGAACTCACGCAGTTGGGTAAACCGAGGATTACCCATATCCACCGGAACGCTATTCTTAAACCAACTGATTTCCGGCTGGGGGTCTCCAGTAGCGCGACATTCCAGCTCGGCACCAGCATTCTTTTTGGCGACGATCACGGAGAAGGAATTGAGAAATTGAGGATATCCAGCAGGTGCGGCTGTAGTGTAAATCACAAAAAATATTACCCAAGCTTTTGACAAGGAAAGTTATACGGTGAGGGTAGGGAATTGGTATCAGGTTAACACACGTCGCAAACAGTCGTAAAATAGGCAGATTTCTTTATTGCAAAGCACAGCCGCTAGACTTTTGCCGTATAGAGAACATATTTTCTTGGATATCCACCACCACCGCCGGACATCCTTAGTTTTCTGCAACTGTTACCGTATTTTAGTTTTTTCCGTGTGACACGGTGAGTAACACTCGGCGAGCATCTCTACCTCTGAAAAATGGACATGGTCAAGTGACTGCGGCCAACCTCCATCCCGATTCTGAGGTAATGTTGCTCCGTTTTATTAGAGTGAAGATACGAATTCAGTAATTCCAACTAAGGCGGAGAAGCAGGTAGCCTCCAAATCCCTCCAAATCTAGTCCCATCATACCAAGATGCGTGCTGAAGGATTCCATCTTCTGGTGCGAATTCCCAAGGCTGTTGTGTAGAACATTCTTGTAACAAGATAACACCAACTATACAAGTACCCTTTAGCAAAACGAATTCCGGAATGGCGATTCTGCAAGCACTTTGTCTTTACGAATTCACTGGGATATACCGACGCCTTTGTCCACATCCTCATAGTCGCAAACAGTCATAAAATAAGCAGATTCCTTTATTGCAAAGCACAGCCGCTAGACTTTTGCCGTATAGAGAAGATGGTACCTTGGACAGCCACCGGACATCCTTAGTTTTCTGCAACTGTTACCGTATTTTAGTTTTTTCCGTGTGACACGGTGAGTAACACTCGGCGAGCATCTCTACCTCTGAAAAATGGACATGGTCAAGTGACTGCGGCCAACCTCCATCCCGATTCTGAGGTAATGTTGCTCCGTTTTATTAGAGTGAAGATACGAATTCAGTAATTCCAACTAAGGCGGAGAAGCAGGTAGCCTCCAAATCCCTCCAAATCTAGTCCCATCATACCAAGATGCGTGCTGAAGGATTCCATCTTCTGGTGCGAATTCCCAAGGCTGTTGTGTAGAACATTCTTGTAACAAGATAACACCAACTATACAAGTACCCTTTAGCAAAACGAATTCCGGAATGGCGATTCTGCAAGCACTTTGTCTTTACGAATTCACTGGGATATACCAACGCCTTTGTCCAACATCCTCATACCCCACGTTAATCATACCTACTGTCCGAGTGAAGCCACACGTTTGAGGTGACATGTAAATATTGCTATCAAACATTGTCTTCCACTAGCTATTGATAAGACGGACATCTGGGCTGAGAATATCACCTTCGAATTTACGGTAAAAAGCTAAAATACACCATCTGACAACACCAAATATCCACCCCGTTTTTGTAAGGCATTTTTAAAGTCGTCTTTTTACAAAACTGAAATCTCACAGGTAAACTGGAAGACTCCGAGGAGAGAAAAAGGGCGGCAAATGACCGGAGATCGACTCGAAACAGCCAAAAGTTGGGAACATCTTCAAAGGCTTACACAGTCTACTCACTGATCTGTTAGTAACGTTAGTAATTCCAAGAAAGTTCTACTTTTGTTCCATATATGTTAGATACCTACTCATACCAGCGTATGATGTTAGAATTGGAGACAGATAAAGTGTCAAATGACTGTGAAGCGCAAGATGAACAACTTGTTAAGAATATGGTGGCCAATCAGATGGCCTTATTGTACACAAGTCAACTACTTACCAGATTCGTCAGCGTACACTGTCAGCGTTGCGCTTTCTTCGGCTCGCCCAAGAGCGTTCGTCGCTGTACAGGTTATTACTGCTCCGTTGTAGTTTGGGAGCGTGTTTGTGACCCGGAGAACTGAACCACGAGGTGCCCGAGCAGTTTTGCCAAAGTGTTCTTCGGATACAGCCGTACCGGAAACCTGTCGAGAATGAAGGAGAATCTCGTTAAATTAGATTTCGCTCTATCTAGTCCGTGTTGATCAAGGCAGAGTTATGATACTCAGGTGGCTGACATAAAGTGTTTCTTCAACAGACCTGATACCATAAGTTGTTGAAATGATGCAAGAAGTGATTTATGGAGTGGTCTTTTACCGAAATTGTGTTTTTAAAAGCTTCTGGAGGGTTGATATTTGGACCACATTAAACTTGCACTGCGTTCAAGGACAGGTATAAGTAATTCATAAGGTTTTGGGACTTTTGAAAACCTTATAACTTTGACAGTTTGTGGAGCGCCTCTTTTGACAGCGGACATATATTTCCTGCTATCAAACCAACCCAATTGGTTTCGTCTAGGCTGTAGAGTGACAGGTGAGAAAACCAGAAACGGTAATTGCAGTTGCTCTTCCCAGTAACTGACTGCATCAGTGAATGGTTCATTCGGTTCATCACAGTGCTTATGCAGCGCAAATGCCGCATTCAATCAGCCGACTTTTTACGGATATGAAATCAATGTAATTCATTTAAAACTAAGACACCGGGCACGGGAATTCACCCGAAAGGACAGGATCATCGGTCTCGCTCAGTATCGATCGTATTTTAAAGAAGTAAGGCAAGCAACGTTTAGGAAGGGACTGTCAGTTTTCTGAGAGTTGGTAGTGTTGGAATATGGTGCATTCCATGGCGGCCGTTGGTCTGTTCGCCAAGCTTGACCGTTGGTTTGGAAATGCTTCATCACCTTCTGAGAAGATACCATCACTACGTGTTCATCCAGCCGCGCACTGAGGATGTCCACTCGAATGGTGAAGAGAAGTTTGCAAGTCAGTCGCCTCAGTACACCAAAAAACCCGTCGAAACTGATATTCTCCACGTAGAAATCCGTGTGTATCCAGGACGCGAAATATAAACCATGACATAAAGCAAGATAACTGTAGTACAACCGAAATTTCGTTCTCAGGTTTGACTATACGTGAGTTGTGAATAACACAGAGAAGCCGTCTACTCGATTAATTTGTTGTCTTATATTAAGCTGCTGTTGCGTACTATTCACGCACAATTTAGGCGCATTTTTGAGGACATATAAGTGGTTATTATCCTATAATGCTATGCACAATGCCGCGTTTTTTCCATAATGAATTCAGAGGAGGGCAATTTATTTGAGATGCTCTGTTTCATGATACGATATCCCCCTTTACGGAGACGCCTAAAACAATCGAACTCCACGGCCCAAACATTGGGATGTAGTTTCTAGTTACCTTGCTGAAGTTCAGTTTTGTGATCTAATCAGAATTTTCATTTGATTTTTTCATTGTGCCTTAGTGCACTAAATAGAAATAGCCTTTTGATCCGGAACGCGCGGTCAATGAATCGTCTTTGTTGTGGGCCTCCTTATCCCATAGCCCACTCGGGCATTTTTCCAGTGATCACGGGGTACGGATCCAGATTACCTTGCTATTTAAATAAAACAAATTTACAATGTACTACTCATAAGGTTGCTGAAAATCCGTCGGCAGCCTACGACCGGTTTCGCCCTTTTTGGGGCTCATCATCATCGCGATATCTCGACTATCGTAGCGACTGAAACATGAGGCGGCCTGATGCAGCACATTCAGTTGCCTAAGAACATCACAAACGAGAGATTCAGCTGAGTTCCGAGTGAGTCTCTCGAAAAAAACAAACTAGTTTGCAAATGCGTATATATTTGCTAAAAACAAATTTATATTTCACTGTGTCTACGTAAAATCTTTATTTGATCCCTACACTGGAAACGATTCGACCGAAAATCCATATTCGGGACAAAGCGTCAAAGCGGCGCTTCACGCCGCCATCAGATTCGGAGCCCAACTTCTGAACGTCGGAACAGGAAGGGTCAGAATGTCTGATGTTAACTGATAAACTCCACAGATTCCTCCTGCAGAAAGGTGCTAGAAGTTCTGATGTTTCTGCTAAACACATGAAAAGTCCGTTTGGGATGAAGGCAGTCTTCTACCTACGTGTTCGCTCTTGAACTCATCCGTCTAACTAGCCTAGATCTACTGTCCGTAAGTTGCATGATCTCACCTTCCCTGAAACACATCAGATTGGCATCAGACTTCACAACCACCTTAGGGTGACAGATAGTTTGCCGGCCAGACTGAAATCAGAGCTCAGTTGGAATCAAGTTTTAGTGGTTGGCAAGGTATATGTGATTACGCTCGTTTCTTGCCGTACGTCCCCTGTTAAGTGAACAATTGGTCAAGACAATCAGATGAGGCTAAAATCTCAAAAGCAGAACGTTGCTCGCTACTCTCAGCATGTAACAGTAAGAAAAACACAATTCATCTTATGACTGGTCGCACGAAAAACCCTGAGGTAACTACAAGACATTCATTGGAAGATAATCACTCTGAGGTTCATCTGGGACGATTTTAAAACGTGCGAATGTACTAGCGCGTTAGCAACCTCAACTCACCCGCATGAATGCATTGTGAACTGCGCGTTCCTCTGAAGCACTTTTCGACCCTATTGAACCGGATTTAATACCTTCTTCCAAGTCCACAGAGGTATTCCTGATGCTGAGGTGAAATTTAACTTAGAGCTTATAAATTCTAAAGTGAGACTGGATGTGTGATGTCTCTTATTCGGAGAGTTTTGCCATCCTTGTTACTTTGACATCGAGGCTTGTCGGATGGGCGCCTTTGAAGAATAGCGAATGAGGGAGTCTAAATTGGGAACAAAAATAAGCAAACTTTCAATTTCTTTAGCTTTCGTTGCTCTGATGTATCGAGTGGTGCTTTCGAGATGTATTCATGCCGGGACTGCTCGGATGCATATACATCATCCAGCCGTTTGTCCATGGATTAGAGAACCTGAAATCCTCAGCTAAAGAGTCTGCTTGAGTCTGCTTGTCTTTTCAAGAGTTATTTTTTCATTTCTGAGAATATTCTTCAAGCAAAAGGAAGGAACGACCGTTCTGACGGGATATGTTAGAATTGTACATCCATTTTAACAAGTACGAGAGCTTCGGTAGACTCTTGGGTGGCACAGACTGACTGCTCCAGGCCGGAAACAAAATCCGACGGAACTGCACCAACTCTGAATTACCATGCGCACTGAAAATTGCGTACTGAACAAGAAACCAAATACTTGCAGAACAGGGAGTAACCGGAAGCTGGGCTTGTTGAGTGATCGATGGACACATCAACGTTTTGACATTCAAAGGGACGGGGTTGGAGAGTGTTCGCTGACCAGACGGCAATGTCAACGACCGTCAGATGTACCTGCGATGAGGTGAGCGTCCGATTAATAGAACCGATTAAGCCAAAGTGAACTGCTTTATCTGATTTGCCCATAATTAGTGTTTTATAGGCATCCGTGAAATGTGCGGAACAGGGCGCCAGCAGAACATCACAATGATTCGACGTTTTCGCAAACGCAGTCAAAAAAGCAGCTGCTGAAGCTTGAATGCGTCTGCTCGTTTCATCGGATTAATTTTCTCTGAACGGAACTCTTATGGAACAATAGTTACAAGAACCGAATTTTAGCTTATGACGCTGAGCGTACAATTAAATCTGATAATGTTTATTTTTCATAAAGGAAACCACTTACAAGGTTGCTGAAAACTCGTGGACAGTCCACGACCGCTTTCGCCCTACTTGGGACTCATCAGGTAGGCGTAGTCCCCGAGTTTCAGCCAACCCTATGTTCTACTTGAACCCAAATTGGGCTGTTTTCGAGAAATACACTCACTTGCAAATCAATTTGGTTGTTGAATCTCTCGTTTATGATAGTCTACAACTGAATATACTGCACCCATGCCGCCTCATGTTTTAGATGGCACGATATTCGAGATATCGCAGTATATCTTCATAAAGGAAACTACTCACAAGGTTGCTGAAAACTCTTCAACATAATGTTCAACTTCGCTTTGAAGTCAGGTCGTTGTACCCACCAACACTGTTGGTCTTGACACGACAGTTATCTCACACTACAAGCCTAAACGAGTTTACGATCCCGGCTTGATTGACTAAAAATCAGCTCTTGTGAATGTTGCCCGCACTCACGCGTTAAGAAGTTTCCCTAGGGTACAATGAAGAAAACGCCGTTCGGAGAAATACTGGCACAAGGATGATAGTACGTCGCAACTAAACCGCCAAGCTCGGTGAATTGTCTAGACGATAAAATAGTGGTTTGTCATTTATCACGTAAGCAAACTAAAAAGTGAACAGCCGCTGAAGTGGACTTTCCATTTTCCAATGTTGCACTGCAAAACCTTGCAAAAACGTTTTGCGCGAAAAAGGATTGTTCACCACTGAGCAGGGTGACATTTAGGTTGTAAAATTTAAAGTCAGACGGAGGGTGGTATCGCTAGTTGTATAGCTTAGTGAAATTTGCGTGTGACGGGTTGGAGCATAGGACATAAGAGCACATCTCTGGAAATCGGGAACTCAACGCGAGTCGGCTGTTTAAAAATGGTGGTCACTCAAAATAGACGGAACTGACTAGCACTCATACTGGAGTAGATTGATCAAGGCCATTTTTTGAAAATAATCGGGTAGCTACTTGAATTAAAGTCTACTTAACTGGGATTCGAGTGTAATTCGTTCAATTTCGGTCAAGTAAAAGCTTGTTTGGGAGAACTAACCGAAGAGGCTATACGAAGATTAGAGGACAAAGCACCCTTTTTAAAGCACCAACATTTATACAGTGTCTTCAACAAGAGTTCGGTACCCGTCATGTCTGACTAAGCAAATTTCAACAGTCTTCAACAACCGAGGTTTTCCATTTTCAGTATTTTGTATCCTGAAAATGAAATTAGCGTTGGAAACGTGAATTGTTTTCCTGTCGAGCAGCTCTTAACCCCTAGAGGACCCCTACAGAATTACGATTCCGTAACTGTCCGGTTGGCATTGAGCTCTTCAGCACTTGGCCAAGATTGACTAGTTAATCAATGTGACAAGCTTGTACTTAAACAGGACATATCTGGTTACATTAAATTGCCTTTTCACAACAGACTTTCGCTCTAGCTAAACTTAGATGTTTGATGCCACGTTTCGTATACTCTACAGTTTTGTGGTGACCAGTGCTTTGCTCGATCTGAATGGACAAAATGTAGTTTACAGCAGAAGCGAATGTTAATAGAAAAACGCAGTAATCTGAAAGGTATTTTCTGAGTTGGCTTAGAATTGGGCTCGCGGGTCGATTCTAGTTTTAAGACGGTACCTGAGGTATTTTATTACAACAATAAACTGATCATTCGATTGGGGAACACGCGGCCGATTAGGTAAGTGAATAAACCAATTAGCTAGAAATACACTCATTTGCAAATCAATTTGGTTTCCACGAGAGACTCAACTGAATCTTTCGTTTACGATAGTCTACAACTGAATGTGCTGCAAACAGGCTGCCTCTTGATTCAGTTGTCAGTTGCAGTATAGTTTCATAAAGGAAACTACTCAATTAGAACATAAGGTTGACGGAAACTTGGGGACTGCGCCTATCTGATGAGTCCCAAGAAAGGCGAAACCGGTCGTGGGGTGCCGAAGAGTTTTCAGCAACCTTGTGAGTAGTTTCCTTTATGGAAAAAACCGATTCGCTGTTTAGTTGCCCCCATCAAACGACTCTAAGCGAACGGCTGTTTAGGAGCTGGATATAAAATACATGCACTAGTGAACCGGCATCGTGAAAACTTTGTCCAATCGGTTGAGAAGTCACCCAAGAACCAAGTCCAATGGTTCGACAAGCTCATGACGGCTATCAACTAGATTCTACGGGTTGCAAATGTAAAATTATGAAACAAACTAAATACAGGATTGCCGTCTTTCACCAACAGTCAAAAATTGAGCAGTTTGTTGCAATATTTGCTTCCCGTGTTAAGCTTTTTGTGAAACACGCACCAGTTTTTACAGCTGCATTGTACTCCCATCCTGATGCTGTGCGTTCCACCAACTAGCATAATCCGTGTACACTGACCCATACGCCATGTTCGATAGAGCCCTCAATTTTTCCTTCAAGGTATCACGAAATCTTGACAATCAAGCTAACTACCACACTCCAAAACTCTATCAATGTTGTGGGGGAAATGTGTAGGGACGCAACAATTGCATGAGAGCTGCATACGTATTCCGAAATACATTTGGTGAAAGAACACAAATCAGGATTTGCGCGGATGGTACTCATTAATCAGCAGGAGATAGCCTATAGAAAGTGTGAAACCAGTTCAAAATCACTCAAAACAACGTTCTTACCTTCCATTGTACTTTAGGTGCTGGATTTCCCTCGACAAGGCAAACAAACAGCGCAGATTGACCGGCAATCGTAGCGATCGAACTGGGAGCCCGAACAATACGTGGCTTTTCTGTATAGTTGGATACGTGAGAAGCAAATTAGAATACGGGAAAACGGTCACGAAAAATGGTTATGATGTAAGGGCTAAAAAATTTAGGTTATGAAAAATTGATGATATTTTCCGGGTTGTCGAAGTGCCATGTCAAAAATGAAATTTCAGCTTTTGGACGTAGAAAAGTTTTGGTTTGATTTATGGGCGGTAGAAGATGGACTTATACCTCATGATCTTGGAACGTGTTTAGAGATTGCCTGAGCGTAATTTGGCATCCTTCCGATGTGGGAATTTCACATCTATAGGAAATTCACAAGTTATCACTGATATTTTACCCTGTAAGCGGAAGCTCTCTGTAATAGAAGGCCGAGAAGCATCATGCGGCAGCGTGCAACTGTTATATAGGTTGTCCGAGTTTCGAACACTTGACCTCAAGCTAGCAGTGTAGGAAAATAGCATTTGAACTTCGGAATCTGGGCTGCACTTTACGCACCTTAGGTCTCAACATTGGTCGTGGTTAGTAGGAAGCTAGCGATCTGCTTTGTGGATACAGATGTAAGGCAGTGGACCGTTGCGGCGTGCCGTTAATATCGAGCAAACCACCGTTGCGGCGTGCCGTTAATATCCGAGCAAACCTCAGAAATACGCTTTCGTCAACTGGCATGAGATTGGATTTTTAGTGGTGATCGAGGCAGTCAAGTTGTAAAGAATCGCTGTAACTTGGAAGAATCCAATTGAGGGCAGGAATACAAGTCCGGTGACCTATAGGCCTGGACTGTCAGTGTGCACTTCTCTTTGTTAAGGGTAACTGGTAAGTAGCGCATATCTATTGACATAAAGGAGCTTGGTCTCGAAAGACAGAACATCATAAAAGTGCTATATGTCAGTCTTGCCGAATGATTTGGAATAGGAGACGACAGAAACCTGTACTGCAGCTCTTCTGAGTCATGGCTGACAAGTTCTTAAAACACTAAAGGTGTCTAAACTGCCCATCATTTGTCAGTGAAGAGTATTATACACATTGAAACATGTGCATTTGTGATGAAAGGGGTCTCGAATTGCTTGAAGGGCATTGTATGAATGACATTGTGTCATCCAATTCCAGCACTGCCGGAGCGGAAATCGCGAAAACAGCTGCGAGCCGAATTCCAGATGACACGGAATCCCAGCATAGAATCTTCTAGAATTCTCCGGAATTTAAGTGAGCAATCTGATTCCAACCAAATGAACGCTTGTTCTGATAACCATCCATGATGGATTCTAGAGTTTTAGCCTGGTACTGATAGTTACCCGACGTAACAGAAACCTGTACTGCAGCTCTTCTGAGTCATGGCTGACAAGTTCTTAAAACACTAAAAGTGTCTAAACTGCCCATCATTTGTCAGTGAAGAGTATTATACACATTGAAACATGTGCATTTGTGATGAAAGGGGTCTCGAATTGCTTGAAGGGCATTGTATGAATGACATTGTGTCATCCAATTCCAGCACTGCCGGAGCGGAAATCGCGAAAACAGCTGCGAGCCGAATTCCAGATGACACGGAATCCCAGCATAGAATCTTCTAGAATTCTCCGGAATTTAAGTGAGCAATCTGATTCCAACCAAATGAACGCTTGTTCTGATAACCATCCATGATGGATTCTAGAGTTTTAGCCTGGTACTGATAGTTATCCCGAGGTAATGTCACAGGATTGGTCAGGTAGCCCAGGTGCACTGACGTGAACCTGCCGGACGTAGTAAAAACAGACGGAATGGAGAAGCTTGGTTTTGAGGCCCACAAAAATATGCAGACTAGGTGCACTAAAAAAAAACGCACCACTTTATGTGTTCAGTCTATGTTAGAAGCGCACTGGTTGTCGCAACATTCCGAATGGGATTGTGCACGCTCCATCATTCGGGCCAGAATTATTGTTCGCTGATTAGATTGAGCTTATGACAACTGTCAACAGTGGTCATACAACTGCGCAGCACCTTCAAGCATTAAATATGAAGTTGCCTCTTCAAGATCGTTCCAGGCATTTTACGATGTAGGAAAATGCTCATTCTTACATGTCTAAGGGCAGTAAATCAAAGAAACGTCATGGATGGAACTGATCTGCAACAGTCTAGATTTAATTCATCTAGACTCAATATTCTGTGTAGCATAGCAGCCCCATGTCACTTGTAAAAGAGCGTCCGATCACCTCTCACACATAGTGCTCTCCCGAAAGTAATCTACTACTTTTCGATTCCCAGAAAGAGACGTTCACTACCCATGGAGTCGAATTATCATCCTTTACACTATAAATTCAGTTAGAACTTCCCGACTCCCAACTATAACTCAGTTCCCGTCAGGAAGGTTTAGAACGGACACTCGTAAGATATTCTTTTGCTGAATAGGCTGTCCCCTGACTGTTTAGGGAACATAAGTTACCGGTCGGACAGGACGAAAGAGCGATTGTACGTATATATAAGCTGTGCGATGGATAGAAAGAACAATCGCAGAGTTGTAATCGGACACTTGACAGAGTTGTGTTGCGCGATACTGCTGCGCTCTCAAAATTACACTTGGTCAATTAATCCTCGGGATTTGTTCGCAGTGTACATAACTAACAACCTGTCCGTCTGTGGAACAATGGAAACAATAAGTATCGATTAGCACTTGGTAGACATGGCGAAAAAAGCCGAAACTCCGATTTCCAACAACCTCAGAACATGTCCGTTCATGGCGAAGCTGCGAAGCAATTTTCAAGTCCTCATGCTAATGTACGGGTAGATAAGGGTTGGATACTTGAAAAGGTTGTTCGAGCGTGAAGTACGTGAGTTTTTTGTCAGCACGAATGCCAGTTGTGCTAAAGTGATAAAAAAGCTAAAGCATATTGAAGCGAACCTAAACTATCAAGAGATTTTGAGCATTTTGCCGTTGTTTAACTCCGATCCTGTGGTTGCTTTGTTTTGATTGACAAATGTGCAACCGAAGAACACTATGAAACCGAAAAGCTAAGAAGCAATGTACAGCTATACCATCCTTGTTGGACATCAGCCAATCACATCTCACGAAACTAGGAGTGCGTCGAACCCGTGACCTTCCGGCTAGTGCTCGAAAACTTGGCCACGAGCGGCTGGGCAGCAGTGTGATTGGCTCTTAAACAGGATATAGCACCGCCGGTCCCTCAGTTGCAGAGAAATCACGTGAAGTGGTCATCTGTTGACCGGTTCCTCGAGTGACGAAGTCTGGGGAACTCATTTTGTGAAATTATCCTCCCTTTGCGTGACTACGACGTGAGGAGGTTTTTCGGTTGTTTCATGACCGAATTGTAGTGTGGTTTTATCACTGGTTTCTTTGATACATCATAAACCAAATTCAAGAAGATTGCCAACGTTGTTATCAACTTTTTAAGGAATGCAAAAAGCCGTTTCATTCTGTTCAAAATATAAATTTCTGCCACTCAGTCGCTGTAGAGTGAATATTGTTCTTGATTGCGAAACGCTCACATTTCCCAGATCTTTCCATATCTAGGGCGTGCTTGTCGCCACTGAATTTGCTTCACAATCCTTTTGAGTTTCTTCATCTCCCTTATTCCCTGCTTGTACTTAGGAGAGATGTCCTCTAACTTCTCCTGGACGGACCTTGCCGTAATCCTTAGGTTTTGTCTCATAAACAGAAGGAATTGGTCTGTCGACGGTCAGTGCCGAGCTCTTTCCCAGAATATTACTGTCGATGATTTCTCCAGTACTCCTCTAACAGTTTCAACCCCTGTTTTGGTTAGAATGACCTTCGTCTTCTTCTCATCTTACTGCCACCATGGTCATTCTTTTTTGTCGGATAACTAAAATCACCAAGGACTGAAATCCTGAGACGACCACTTATCGAACGATACCTACAGCCGTGCACAGGCTCTTTGGACGATAAAAGTAAACAAACGGATATTCAGGGAAAGGCTTGGAGCAATCTGAATTGCTGATCACATGATCACATGATGCAGCTTAGTTTCTGGCCTGGCTAATGAGTCCATTGTTGCCAACACAAAAGGTATATGTGTTGCTGTTCCGTATCCAACTCGTCGAAGCCATTCGGCCAAACGATAGCCGAAACGAGAACAGGCGAAAATATCGTCAGTTGCACTGGTAGTTTTTGTTTGAGTAACAACATGTAATACATTTTTTTGGATAAAATTTCAGCACTGTTTATCGTTCAGCTAACCGGGAAGGATATGAACCGTTTAAAACAGCCGATGTAACGGTGCTACTACTGATGGGGAGTCATGCGAGTAGTATGGTTTCTTCTTGTAAATTCTCTTTGCGTCTCTTGAAGAGAGAGATTTATTACGGAATTTGTGAATTCGTTTTGTAGCATTTGCTTGCAACTGAGCATCCGTTAAAGAATATCCGGGAAAGTTCAAGAAGACGCATTCAAAAGAAGAGAGATATTCAGGTTTTGTAAATAAGATGCAAATGAGAGTTTTACTTCCTTGTCCAATAGTCTGTAACAGGTCACTTGCCATTTCCCTTCCCCTTCACCGATAGTTAAAACATTCAGGGAACAGATGAAGCTATAACCACTTTAGTCGGAACTTAATGATCGACTTTATTGATAACGATCAGAAAATGATCAGTTCACAAAGCAGTGACAAGGTTTGATTTCGCCCTTGGCTGAGCAATAAGTACTATTAGGGATAAATGCCAGAATCACACGAAAAAATCTTCGCTAAATCGCTTGATCGCGTGCTGAGTTTTGATATCACTGGTCTAAAGCCAACGGCATCAACGTAGACCACACCAGCTCTTCGTTCGCTGAAAATACCTCACTATTCAACTGGCAGTTTTATTTAAATTTGTGCGTTTGCATCGAAGAGTAAGTGAATTAGGCTGGAGCGGAGTGTTTTGGGAATATCTCAAAGTATCGAGGGTGTAAAATGATTCGGAGCTAATTTAAATCAGCTGATCTTCAGTTTTCTGACGTTTTGTGCTGAAACGCAGTGACTGCCGGATGGGAAAACCACCAACGCATGACACGCTACCTTGCACAGGTAGCAAT